AAAAAATAGTTGGATTCCAGACGGGTATCATACATGCCGTTTGTTGTTGTTTGTCAGGGTCAGTTCGGGTTTTTATTTATACACCCAACCTTGGGACCTTTGTCCAAAAGGACTTCCTTACCACTTGGTAATCTTTTCTTCAATCCTCTCGTCTGGTCACATGAATAAAGAACAAGACTTGGCGTTCGTTGGCCAGCTAAAGGTGGGCAAATGCTGGATTCTCTCGGGCCAAAACACTATCAGTCACTATCCGACATTATCCGCACTCCCTGAAACAATCATGGAAGTGGGCAAGGGCTCCCTCGGATGATCATGTTCCCCTATAAACAGCTGGTTTTCCACTTAACCGGATTTTTCAGGGCGTGCATCCATAGGCGATCCATGCAGGCCAGCGACCGAAGAAGCGTTGCTGCGCCACCTGCACATCCTGAACAGCGTGCCAGTTTTCAGTCGACCAGGGACTTATAAGGGACCCAAGGGACCTTTTTTCCCAGGCCCTTGATCCAAACAAAAACTCTGCCAACAGCAGGCCCTCAGCACGAGAGGCGGCGACCACGGCGACCATAAAAGGCATTATTGCCTAAACCAATCTCATCACATCTCACATCTGATTATTCACCCATAGCTGAAACCTGAGAGACCCCGTGAGGCATCGAAACCATGCACCGCTAAAAGAACTGCCCATCTGCACACAGCTTTGCACCGCATTGGGACACACACGTGTATACAATTATAATATATGTAAATAACTATAAAAATATACATTGTATGCACACATGTCTTTACAAATACGATGCTCAGGGGTCAACATGAAACACACCATGTAGCTGACGACTTGGACGTTGAAAAAAATATTCTGTCTTCTGGTCCCTTTTGTGTTCTCTTTCCTGCTTTTCTCCCCATTGGTGTCATCCAACTGGTTACCTCGCCACTGCGCCATTGGGCCACACGACTTTCACGCTCGTTCGTCGGCCTCGGCAGCACCAGTGTAGTCGGCCTTTCCGATCAGATCGACGGCGGCAATGCCGAAGACATACCTCAGGTATCAGTGCAGGTTTTTCCGAGTTTGCTCTGCACCAAAATTCAGCAAATGACCATTCTTGCCTTGGGAATTTGCAGTAGCACGATCGAACTATCTTAAAAACTCAAGTTGGGTTGGTGCGTCATGGGTCCCAGTGTTCCCTGCCAACGGTAGAACTGTTCCTGATCATTCTATTCCGCTTCCATCGACCTCCCCACCACGAACAGCCAAATCAAAGCTACCAGCGCCACCCAGCGTCGACCACCCAAAGAGATGACGTAGAACCCGAGTCGCCCCAAGACCTACCGTTGAAGCCATGGTCAAGACGCGGAGGAGCCAATCGTGGGCAGCCAAGCGACAAAGTGAAGATAATGAGGACCAAGGCTGAAACCAAGGTACCTCAACCAGTTGAAAGAAGGAGAGGTGGATCATGTGGACTGATGTGGATTTGTTGTTTTGAGGGTTCACATGACCGGAGGCAGGACTGATGATGCCTGCTCATCAGTCAAGATATGCTTCTCAGGTGTCACAATGCCTGACAGTCTGCCAAAGGTTGGCTGTAAAACACGCAAAACATCACACTATGGACAAATGCGTTGCAAAAACAGTAGACAACGACCAAACCTGTTACTTGGGAGATGAAATTACAGTGGGTCAGGAACAAGGGGGTGGTGGATTCAAAGCGAATGAAGGATGTTGCAACACCTCCCAGGGCAAATGCTAAACCTCACTTTGCACAATCACTGATCATAGATTCATAAATAGGTCACAAACTGTATAAACCCATTCTGCTGCGCAAACAACGTGCATGCGCATGGATGTAGACCCATTCAAGACAGCTGCCAAACGACCCACCTAATCTAAGCCTTTGCAATGCGATCCGTGCCTCTCTCCACCTGCCACGTGGCCTGGGGTGCCTTCCCCCATCCTTTGGCCAAGGGTCTTCCACTTTTTAAAAGCCCACGAACCAGCATCCAGAGGTCTTGCATCATTGGCAAGTTCCTTAGAGGCGCTCTGAAGTAGTACTTTCGTAGGTCAATTGTGGAGGGGTCCATGCAAAACACATGTTTCCCCCATTTGTTCATCAGCCGCAGCACATCACGCTTTGCCTTCTTCACATTTTTCCGTGGATTCGGCCTGAAGATCTTCCCTCCATATTTAGAGTGAGCCCTCCATGTTCTTCTGTTCAAGCCTTGATTGAGAATTCTTCAAAAGTAACATGATAAATTAAGATCCTTGCCACTCCTCTGCAGCTCACTGTATGCATGGAGCTACCGTCCCAGTACACAATTCCATGCAAAGAGAAATATGCAAGAACATGTTTGATTTGCTATATGGTCGTTGGACTCTGATCACAGGTCGCTCCAAAGTATTGTATGAGCAATAAACTCCCTACAAGGTTTGCTTTGTTTCTCCTGTTTTTTGGCCACATCTTGAAATTGATTAAATGTTTGGATTGTGCTGCGCAACTGCTCTATTAGACCTCTGAGCCAAAGGTAGATTTCTTGGGGCAAATTCCTTTTGTTGATGGGCACGCTTCATAATTCACCACCCCACCCACACATGGCATGTTCATGCTTGGAGGCGGGCGGCATGTCAGTAGTGGCACGATCCTGCAGTCCATGGTCACCCAAGTTGCAGGAGGAATATGGAGGAACACGGTGACCCTCCCATGCCCGGCTGCGCCCCATGCAGGATGTTCTCACGAGGACTTGCCCTCCGATCGCGACTCATTTCACCAAGTTGCCGAAAGACTTTCACCTTGGCATGGACAAAAGGGCACTGGCACCTCTGGCACCATTCTCAAGGAGCATGCAGTCTGAGAAGTTTTTTCCACTGATTCCAAGCGGTGGGATGTGGGATGCAAGTGGTGCCACGCCTTTTAAATTCAATCATCCAAGCACTCAGGATCCCCGAATCGCCCCCGAATTGGAGGGGCTCTCAAACCCGGAGTTTCTGTGTGTTTCAGTTTGGACGGGCATGCCGCAGTGCGGCCTATGATTCATCATAATCCAGTCGTCATGGAGAAAGGTAGTTTCAACCTGGTTGCAGCTAAGCGGCTAACCGAAGCAGCCGCAGCATTCGGACGATGCGCATCGTCTTCCTTTCTTCGAGCTCCGCTTGAGCTCGGCCGTTTGGAAAGAGCAGCGGGTTTGGTGAAACCCCCTCCAAACCCAACGGTGCCCAAAGGGGCAGCAAACTGCAGAAAAAGGATCTCTACACCACTAAGCAGGAAAAAACACTCAAAGAGTATAATAGTATAATATGTTACTATATGTTACGTGTACTCCTGGCAGTTGAATTCTCTCGACAACTGCTAAGTCCGTGCTAAACATAACCTCTCCTCTGGCACCACAAGTGCACTCTGGCTTACATTCGCTTACGCCAGCCCTCCTCACAGCTTCTGAAAGGTTGAAAAAAACATGTGAAGGAACCTGCATGAAACATGGAACCCCCATGAACCACCGGTGAGACCAAACGCGTCTAGCGGCAGAAAGCCGGTGGACTCCGCGACCAAGGGCTGCAAGAACCACACGGTCAAGACTCCAGGGATCCACGCCTCAATGTCTCAGCATCTCTCAGCTCTCAGCTCTATGGTGTGGCTGTATGTGGCGAAGACGAGTGGGAGAGTCGTGCATGGTAAGCGAATTCAGAGATGCCAAGGGACGTCGTGCATGGTTTGTTTGCGGAACTGTCACGTGACTGTAGGCCTCTTCGGAAGTCTGAGACCAGACCGGTGTGACCGGTCTCAACCAGTCGCCAGCGGGCCCATCACCGGCTGATCCGGAACACGGGCTTGGGATGTGTCGTTTTATGGCTTGGGAAAGGTCATGAGTCTTGGTTCAGGACCTTCTTACATGTCAAGCTTTTGCCAACTTCGTCGCAATGAAAGCCACTATACTACCCGTTACTACCCAATATAAGCAAGAATATATAACTTAATATCAACTTATCTAAACTTCTATGCATTGGCTCCGCTTATCAAGTATTGGCTCCGCTTCCCCTCTTTCCCAAGGAGAGCCCACACTGGCACCGGCGGTGGCCTGGATTCGAAGGAGATGTCCATTCAAAAGGCTCACAAATGACCTCCACGTCATTCCATCTCTCAGCAGTGCTGGCCCACGCGCCACAGCTGGGCTTCCATCCCCCATGATTCAATCAACTCAAATGCGCAAATGCATTCTTTGGGGAGAGTTCGCGTTGGACGTTCTACCTTGGGATACTGGTAAAGGTGATGCAACAAAAAGACCACCGTTGACCACCCTTTCGGGCACACCGCGACACCGTGCCGCCGAACTCGCGGAACACCTGTCCTTCCTTCCTCGTCCACGGCGCAATGAACGTGTCGAGCAAGTTCTCGATGGAACGCAGCCAGGACGGCCCATGCACGGACAATCGAACCAACCACTCCTCGGTCGGTACACTCTGACGAACACATCACATGGTGACCGTGGAGAACGCATGGCTTTTCTTTAAAAGGAAGACTACTTTCCTTTACAAACAGGTGAACTCCACTTCCATGTGTTCGTCGGAGTGTAGTCGTTGGCTGGTCAGAAGATGTGCCAAGCTATTTACTATCTTTTTGCGTCGAACCAAGGGATTATGCACCTTTTGTAGGGATGATCCATGATGATCATGTTCCTCTTGGAGCAAAAAGGCTTTTGTGGCAAGAGCGATGGGGAATTACCCAAAAATGTGTTCAAGTAGCTCAATTTCTTGGAAGGCTTACTTTTCTCCTGCCTAGATCAGCAGAAAAAGAACCGCAGGGCCGATGGCAAGTGATTCTGAAGGTCAGTCATTGGACCTCTATACCGGGCGTTTCGCAATGTTTCTGTACAAAGCGGGGCTTCTGCACCACAGCTGAAGCCAACGACTATGCAACATGGTTGGCCATTCAAAGCTTTTGCACTTTTGAGACGTGCATATTTTCAGGATCTAAAGCTCAAGAGTCCTATGTCCTATGACTTGAAGTTGTTCCTTGGCCAATGTCAAAGGGACATTTAAAAAACAATTGTTGACTGGATGACTCCACCTGCAGGGTCCTTTGAAACATCGTCTTCAAATGCCAAGCAACTGAGAGGAAGAATGAGGTCAGGAAGCTTTCAGAAAAGTTGATCAAGAATGGAACCTCCACTTGATCCACCTGCTTCAGAGAGGACAAAGACGCATGCGCACGGCACGGGCGAAAAAAAGAGGTCCCGCCAGGCCCCTGCAACCGGCACAAGGTGAGGGCATTCGCGTGATGGGACGTATCGAATCACTTTGGAGCAACAGGTGCCACTTGGCTTTCCGCTGGCCATTCTTGTTCATCTCCACCCACCACTGGGCTCCCAAATGTCAGTTCCATGCAGTTGCCATGTAGTTGCCGCAGTGGCGGCAGAATCCGAAAAACATGCCAAAACTCTGTTGGGCAAGCTCCTCCAAAGAAAGAATCGACACCATCAATGGCGACTCCAAGGGCTTGATACGGGGAGTTGGGGGGGCCCCGATCTTCGCCCCGCCTGCCGCTAAGGCAGCATGGGGCCATGGCTCTAAGCACAAACATGGAAAGAGTCAATAATTACATTCCAAAAACCCTAGGGATCCAGTCGTACCTTCTCAGGTACGGTGATTGGAGACACCGTTCTAGGGAAAGAGAACTTCTTCAGAATCGAAGCACTTCTGGAGGACGGGAACCAGACTCTGAATGACTCTGAGACCCTGGACCTCCAGCATCATCGTCAGCGTGCTATACACGATGACGACGCCCGTCCCAAACTCGAAGAGGCTCGATTCGACCTTGATCCCGTCGGAAGCGACGCTTCCATCACGTGGTCCGCGACGCTTCCAAAGACGTGGCACAGCTTGACGGTGACCCGGAAATCCATCACAAAGCAGATTGAAACCCTAGAGGCTGGCCGTTCATTGAACCACAAGAGTCAGGCATCTCCTGCAAATCAGTTGAAAAAGCTATAATCAGTACAGATTCGGGTGCCGCAAACCGCGAAAAGCGCCAAGAAGGCGACAAACAACCCAAAAAACAACCCCAAAACGCATGAGGTTCGCCGCGTTTCGTGTGTCTTTTGGCCGAACGTATTCATCAGTGGCATCGTTTTCCAAAGTACGTTTACTTTAAGCCTCTTTCAGTGGGGGCTTTAATTAATGGCCCGGTCACCTGCACCCGGCCCGACGGAACAGCCGTTCCCCATGACCGGTGGGTGGATGCAACGAGGTGCAAAGGGCTCCGCGAGATACTGGTATTTCCTCAGGAGGGGGCGCTCCACACATTCTGCGGGGGTGCGTCGTAGAACACGCACGCGAAGGAAGCCAGGGGGGGAGTGATTGCTAATAACCTTTAACTTCATGAACTTATATCTTGTGTTTGACACCTTGAGTGAAAAATTGGCCGGAGGGAATTTCAGGCCGCTGCAATCCTCTGTCAGGTCATCTTTCTGCTAGCGGGTAGCATTTTTGTCCTCAACTGATGCTCAATGAGGGAACTTCCCGGTCACCAAGTCACTGAGACCGCGTTGTGCAAGCGGACGCCACTGACAAGCGCTTGGCTGGAAACTGCGTTTGCCTCCGGCAGGTTCCCAGAACAACGGCGGAAGGTGGTGGGATGGGGGATTTTTGCTATGAATCCAGCTCCAACCTAGAAGCAATGGCCTCCAACCTAGAAGCAATGGCCTGTTGATCGGATGTTGAGCGTCAGAATGCGAGCGTCGGGCCTAGTCCTGTGCCAAAAAAACTTATAAGACGTAGAACTTGGACCATCCACACCCTCTGATCTCGTTTCAAACATGTCTCAAACATATTATATTGCAATTCCATGCAATTCCTATTGCAATAATCTGTGTTCATTTGTTTGATTATTGGGGAGTGCTGTAGGGTACCCTGCCTGGACGATCATGGACGCCGGATGGCATGGCCTCTGCCAAAGACCCTGATCCTCATCCTCCCAAAAACACGGTGGATTCTCCACAATCGCAGTTTGGCTTCGTTTATCTCTCCATGGGTCCCTCAAAGTCCCACCGAACTCGAGGGCCGCGTCCGTGGAACAAGCGTCGCGTGGAAAACGGCGACGCGTCCGTGTCGCGTTGGCCGGGTCTCGCCTGGCTCGGTGTTCGCGGATGGTCCTTCGCGCTTTGGCCAGCTGCTCCCGTTGGAGTTCCTTTGCATCCTCGGTGGCTCACGGTTCGTGGGCAAAACTGCCCCCATGCCAAGAACTGGCAAACATCATGGGTTGGCAGTCAGAGCTGACACTCCAACTTTAAATGTCAATCATGTGTGCTGCATGGAGGATTAGAAAAAACAGGTTTGGTCCGTTTGAATTCCACCCGCAGCCACTTTGATCGGGGCACGCATTGAGTCAAGCCAAGACTCGAACAAAGAAGTTCCCTCCGGACCCTGACCCTATCATCATACTCATATAAGAACTCGAAATCCATTGTGTTTCGGAAGCGTGCGAAATATGCGATCCCACAGTCACATGCCAAATCATGCCATCCTTCCCCGGGAAATACCTCGAACTGGCCGAACGAATTCGGACACGGAAAGGCTCCATGGTGGCTCCACTTCCCGCGCTGCTCTTGCGCCGAGCCGGAGCCTGAGGAGGCAGGCCGACGATACGGGACTCGATGTGAGGGCGATGGGAAGTAGACTGAGCTCATCGAGCCGAGCACAGTCTCACAGCGATGCGAGCCCGAGGTACGGCAGGGGCTCGTGTGTCTGGATTCAACGCCAATCGAACACGTGTATGCACGTTGTTATGCAAATTATATAGATTTATATAGTACGTAATAGTAGCTTCAACAATGATGTAACCAAATAGTCCGTTTCTGATGTTCGGGGTGTACGTCGTAATTCGACTGCTGCTGCTCATAACCCGTGCCTCATTCCGCGGGCCCGCGGGAAAAAAGAACCCGCCGGTTTCGGCGGAACCGGAAGGAGACGACCATCTTCTGAGCCAGAACAGCCAGGAGGGTGGCCCGATCCGTCAAAAAAATCGCATCAGTGGTGTCGAGTTGAATGTGCTGATCTTTGTGTTTGTTTTTATGAGCTGGTGGGGGCCGTGTTGCGGTGCATGTTCCCGGTGGTGAGTCCCCTTCCACCAAGTGGGACTCAGTGGGAGTGAAAGACGTGCTGTCACCCCCCACACTCATCAAACCGTTCATCCGGCTGTATCCGGGGCAGTTGAACCAATCCCAGACACGACCCATGGGACTGCCATATGTATGCCATATATGCCGATCAGGCCAGGGGTGGTTTTGGGGGGTCAAGGTAGGCATCTATGGCAACTTCATGGGTCGTGTCAATGGATTGCAAGGCATCCCCATGACACCAGGACGGTCAAATGCAGCGGCCTGGACTGAACGTGCACCCGTTTGGGGCACCAACGGGACTCCAGGTGGTAGCTGCAAAGAAAACGACACCCGAAATTGGTCAAACAAACATGTTTGGCCATCTCTATTCTTTACATTCTTCACTGTCTTAGACTCTACTTGGACTATGAATGTTGTCCAGTTAATCTCAGCTACAGCTAGGTCGCGGCCCTTGATGGTGAGCAACCACTCGGGAGATACACTAGTCTGCTGCATAAGAAAACCAGCATCGGCCTGCGTCTCTTCTTGCTGGCGGGTGCCTTGGAAGAAGCAAAGAGTCCTGATTCACAGCTTTAACTACAGAAGTCTTTGCTCTTGGGCATGCTTGGACCCCCTTGATCCAGCAAAGTCAATTGCCTAGCATTCCTTTCCAAATTCTGGTTGTTGCTATCATGGTTTGCTCCTGGTGGGGGTGGCGACTTTCTTTGCCAAACCCTGACTTGAGGTAGCCTACTACTAGGCCTACCCTTCCTTTTCCAAGGATCTTTTGCATCGGGTGATTGAATCTCCGCATCGCTGACATGGCAACTCCACCGTGGTCCAACGAGAGCGCCTCTGGCTTGCGGTGGGCTATAGGAATGTTCTACGGAGACCATCTCTCTGGTTTCTCTGCACCCGCAGGCCCAACCCATCGGGCCGGGCCAACCAAGCCAAGCTGAAATGAATCTCAATCAAAAACAAAACAGCCCACGAACCCGACTAACCAACCAAGCCCAGGATCCAACTAAAATATCCTCAAAGGCCCCCCAGCCACTTCGTCCACTACGATCTACTCAAGACGTCAGGACCCTGGCAGAGCTCAAAGCAGCTGTCAACTCTTCCCAGCGCGTCAAGCTGCTTTCAGCGCCTAAGACCGGCCATCTTTCGGATGCGCTAAGATACAACCGAAGGATCACAGCTCTGCTTATACCAGGACCCTCCAAGGGGTGCCTAATGGAAGCCTATAGGTAGTGTGGGGTAATTCATTGGACACCCCCTTGGAGGGTCCTGGTTTACTTACTTTGATCATTTTGAATGTAATTATGAGTGTATTCCAACGCCTCTCCTGTTGGTTTTGGGAGAGAGACTTGGAGCGAAAAACAGTCACAAGACGGGGTGGTGTTTAGTCCCTAAGTGAGTGGATAATGGGCACCCTAACCTCCATGGATCGCACCCCTTGGATGTAGACTCTTGATGAATAACACCCCCCATATGAAGAGGTCCGAAGGGCCAAGGGACAGGGTTGTCACGGACTCGTCTCGGACATCCATATGCGCGCCTCCCATATGAAGAGGTGTTTCAATTCAACATGGGTGGGTGTTATTAATCAAGAGTCTACATTAGTCCATATTCGTCCACATTTCTTGGTTTTCCCAGAATGACATTGGGGGTACTACAACTTGGTTGATAGTTGGATAATGTTGTATATGTTTGAACTTTTTGTTCCGTGGTGATTTGGTTTAGCTCGCACAGGAGGCCGAAGTGAATGGCTCAGCGTGGTCTTCGCCTCCAGCGTGGTGGTCCCTTTGCAACGTGGCTCACGCTGAATCGTGACCAGCACAAGCATCCACGACATCGCTGTGACGGGAGACCGTGTCTTCGACCCCCGGCTGGATCGATCGTTGAAGGTCAAGGTGGCTTCACCTGATCGGGTCGGTCGGCCAACAGAGGAAGTCCCAACCAAACGGGGACTTCATGAGGTGTGGACCAGCACCTGGCTGGTGTCGGGGTCACCTGGCTGGTTTCGCCCCAGCCCACCGACCTCCAGACAGGACACCCCGAAAGAAGGTCCAGGTATGTTTAAATTTCTGATGTTTGTTCCACCATGTTCATCCATTTCATTCCATTTCTATCTCCAGGATGGATCGATCTGTCAGTGTGGGACAAGTCATGGACGTTGAGGTTTTTCATGTTCGAGTTTCGATCGATCTGAAGCTCTGAAGAGCTTCACTCTTTCTATTCTTAGCTCCTGGATGGGCCCGTCCGTGAAAGTTCTGAACTGGAATTAGTATGAATTAGTGTTTTTTGGTCTCATTCAATCTAGCATCCCCGTTACAGAGTTCGAACATCTGTCCAAAAGGAGGGAGAGATGTTCGATGCACGTCCGTAGATACATCATGATACATCAATATAATTAGATCAAAATAATAGCTCTATCATTCTCTATCGATTCGTATCTCCACAACCCCCTGGGCCGGCAAAACCCATGCCAACCCCCAACCCACATGGGGTATGAACCTTTATTGTGCCCTTCAGTTCGTCAACGTGTCCGATGCACCTCCCCCCCCCATCGCCGGCGTCCGGTCGTCGCACCGACCACCACGGACCGATTGGGGAGTGTGCCATCGTCGCCCCAGGACACGACCTGTCTGGGACTGCCGTACATGCCGCCCCATTGACCCCCC